TTGTCAGCTTCCTCCTCCCCATAGTTCATTAGTTTCTACTAATATCACATAAATCCCTACTTTATGGTTTTTTAAGTTACTGGTCCTTCGTTCCTTCCCCACAGGAAGCACAAGTTTAACCACTCCATCAATGCAATTACTGACTTGACAATGCTTCCTTATGCCCTAAAGCAGAGAGGATCTCTTATTTGTTCTGCAATAAAACAGGTCTTAATTAGGCTATTGCTCCTCCTGTGTAAATATCTCATTTTACCTCTGGAATTGGGTTAATTCACTCTATCTCCTGTTGTTTGGAAAAGGCCAAGTGACATCATACAGCAATCTTTCACTTTCTGGACACAATTAATGTGCTGATTTCTTTGCTCATGCTTTTGACAAGCAGGTGATTTCTCTCTGATCAGACACTTTAGGCTATTTATTTTACTTGTGTTTTTTATTGTTTGCTAGGATAGGTCCAACTGAGCTCTTGTTTTTACATGCTTTAAATGGGAAGTCAATCTGTTACCATTGCTTTGGATTCACAACAACACTACAAATTAAATTCTTCTGTATTGAAGAATCCTTAGAGCTTTGTGAAGACCTTTGTGGAAAAAAGGCTCACCTTAAGTTTCACTGCTAGTAGCCTTCTGTGGAAGAAAGTGGGATAATACTATATAGAGGTATTTCTTGCAAAGCAACCAAACACTGCCAGGCTGTCCCTTAAGGTAATTTTATTTTTAGTGGTAAGTTAAACAATTTCTCTGTCTGTATATTGGCCATATGGAAATCCTTTGGCTGACTCTGTTAATCATTCACTCTTCAGCTTGGTGTTAATTGTTTACTAAGTGTTAAGCTGTGTGCACTAAGATATGCCTTTGGGCTCTTAAATCAGTGGGGATATCTCACTAGAAAAACAGACACATGCCTGGTGCTACTGCAACTGCTTGAGCATCGTGGTCTAACAGCTCCAGGCTATGCAACTTCTATTTCATATACAAGTCTCTTGGGATGGAGTAGAGAGAGTTACATCCTTACTGCTAGTTGAACAAACCTCACACAGACAATGTTGTCTCACAGCGGGCTGCAGTGCCTTGTTCTTTTATTACAGTTGCTCTGCAATACAAGTGAAAAAACCCTCTAATGACCCTTCCCTGAAAATGATGGATTTGGTCTCTGCAGTCTCAGTGGCTTTTGGGAAGGTGGTGCTGATCTGGAGACCTGGCTCCAAAGCATTTACTTTGGTTTATCATAAATATTGGATGGTGCTGACCCAAGATGGGTAGAGCCCAGCAGGGCAATGATTCCTTTGTGTTGTGTTTTTTCAAGGCACACGGAGCCTTAAAGGGCCTTTTCTATTCACAGGGAAGAGTTTATAGAAGCTCAGGGTAATACAGAGGGCAATGAATCCAGCCTGAATTTTGTGTGCTGCTGCTACAAAAATGACACTGTTTCTGCAAGCCACTATTAAGTTTCCAGAATGCCTCAGCATATGGTTAGCAGGACAGCAGCCATCTTTCCATATACTTCGTACCCCCTTTTTGTTCAGCTGCAATGTTGGGTTTTATGAAGTGTACAAAAAGTTTTGCATTTATTTAATACCTAAGAATGAACAGCTATCAGGTCATAACTGATACAGACCAAACCTGCGTTTGAACAAGCATCATTCAAGAGGAAGTCTTAGGCAGGGCTTGCTGAGTCTATGAGCCCCAGAACAAGAGAAAAACGTAAGTGAGAATGTAAGCTTCCAAGTGATGGCTTTGGGTAGCCTCAGAGCTTCCAGATAATTCAGACATAAGCAGGAGGGAATATAAATATAGAAGCACAGAGTCATATTAGGTTCTGCAGCCCATCCTGAGCTGCATTCCAGTTTAATAGTCCTGCATTCCCATCTGAACCACCTCGGACTGGGAGCCAGATACCCATCTCAGCTGCATCCCCAGTAATGCGGGAGGACTTATGCCTGAGTGAGAATACTGCAAGCAAGATCAAGTTCTGGCCCTGTGTCAGCCTGAATTCTCCTCTCTGGACTCATCCAACTTGCCGACAAACCTAGTTAGTTTTCTAGAGACACATGGCTGATTTACTCCAGCAATTTAATAAAAACATGGTTTTGACTGACTGCTAATGGGATCGCCTGAGATGGGCTCAGCTGCTTAGTGTGGGTTACAGCCCTTCTTGCAAACACAATAAGCATGGAAATCTATCTAGGATGACATAATAGGAAAACATTACAATCTTGCTTATAAGACGAGCAAGGTTGTTTTATACATTTAATATAAATGTCTTGGTTTCAGCTGGTTTCTTGCTACAATTTTCTGCTTGTGTTTCTTCCAGGGAGATTTATTTTTCCATTGTAATTTTTCAATTTGTTTCTGGCATTGGCAGTGTACAGGAACAAAATAATTAAGATCAGCAAGGACATAATATCTTTCCTCCCTTCCCCCCAATTTTACCTTGCAGAAAGTTCAGTAAGGGTTACCTTTCCACTTTGAACAGTAAAGTCTTGAACCAGCCCATGCTGGTATAGTGAAATGAATCAGATACTATGGTAAACTCCAGATACCAGGGTTATCAAGCCCAATTTTACAATCTAATTAGCAGAGGATTAAACGTTGCACCTCGCTGAGGCAGTTGAGCAGCTCTTGCCAGAGGGGTTTTACCACCTGTGTAGGCTAAGAAGTCTTTTTACCTGCTCGACAGAGGGTAAAACACACAATGGAGAAATTATAAAAGCCTCAGCCTCTATATCAAGTCCTGCTCCTGATTTGGGTTCTGCATTTTGGAATAGCTGTGCCAAGAGATGGGAGTTTGCAAGCATCACGTAATAGCAATGCTCATCTAGGCTGTCTTTTCACTGCTGTGGTCTCTGGAGGATGGCAGTGGACAAATTCTAGCTTGGGAAGTCCTGCTTTCCTTTCCCACCCAGCCTTCACTCCCAGATTTATGACCACTTCTACTAAGCCACAGAAGTCCTCAGTGGTTTATACATAAGGCAGCATAATTGTTTTGGGTCTCCTGGATTTTGTATATAATTTGCTGAGAGAAAAAAAAAAAAAAAGTAATTCTTAATAGAGAGAAAACTGGCACTCTATCTTCTGGAGCTACACTGGCAGAAAAAAATGAAGGGTATGCCTACAGTTCCTGGTTCAAGGGGCCACATGAGAACTAGAGGTTGGTTCTGGGGACACAGAGAGGCTCACCAAGATGTAGTCAAGCTCTGAAATGAATGCTGCAGACCAGGTCACTCTGAGCAGCTGAGGAGAAAGCAAAGGAGCTATGAAAGGAGGCTGCTTCAAGATGAAACATCTGTTTCCTTTCATGCAGTCAGAGTACCTGACCTTATTTTTTCTTTCTTCTGATGCTCTCCACCAACACTCTCATCCCATCAAGGGTTGAATAAAAAAATGCTACAACTTGTGAATGGCTGAGTCCTTGTCAGGCAGGACACTGTTTTCCTCCAAATAAATGTTTTTATCACTAAGACTGACTTCTGAAGGCATGTTTTAAGGACATGTCTTCCCTGGGGGGTTGGCATTAACAGAGGTATGTAGGTGCAGACACTTAGCCTAGGCATGTTTTAAACTATCACGTGTGAGTATGGCTTGCCCTGCAGGTAATGATTGATCCCAAATAGATAGGTCTTTTAGAGCACAGATGCTCTGTGAAGACTTCCTTACTCCTCTAGCCTTTTTCTTTAATTAATAAAAAGCCCCATTAATAGCCTTCAGCCATCAAAGGCTGATCGATGTACCTGTTATCTCCTGCTGCTTCCTTGGTAGTTCTGTGTTCTACCAAAACCTTAATTCTAGTTTATTTTAATAGAAGATGCTATCTGTGAGCACCAGACATTGTCCAACTTGAATATGACCAGAAGAGATGAAAGAAAGGGACTGGGGACCTTGGCACAGAGACAAAATGAGAAAGAGAAAACGCAAGGAGAAATGCAGTACGTTAATTCAGAGTTGAATCAGTGTGGAAGCATTTGGATCCATAGAAGAGCTGCCTAGTTGCTCCAAATCATTCAGTTCTGCAGCCTGCAAGCAAGACTGAAACTTTGCCTCCTGATGTCTCCATGGGTTTGCAGTACAACAAATACCGTTGCTAACACACTGTGCTTGCCCACCTGCAGGGCATGTGCTCAGAGAGGAGCTTTTTTGTGTTAGATTGCATCCCAGGCAGGAAAATCAGAATATGTGGGTCTGCCTAGTAGGATGAACTAGGGATCAGAACCTCCCTCCTCCCAAATGAACAGGACATTCCTTAGCTAGATTTCTCAAAGGCTATTTGGAAGGACTGAGACAAATCCCCATTTTCAGATGCACTGAAAGCCTCACTAAAAATAGTAATAAAAAGACCAGAATGGCTGGTCATCACTGACCAAGCTCTAGTTTTGTGATTAGATCTAAGGGTGCCATGCCTTGATTTGTGAACTGTTTCAAAGTAAAGTTCCTAAACAAATCAGACACTGGGCACAAACTTTAATGCCATTTTTTTTTGTGATGTGATGAAAGTTGTCTTCTCCTGCTAGCTTGACAATAACTCTTCAGCTAGCAAAACTGCTGTTTGTCAAATGTAACCCTGCTCTTGGGAAAGCCATGCAATTTTTTTCTTTTTGCAATAAATGGAAGAAGCTTTCCTGTCCTTTCTTCCTTCTCTCTCAGATAATTTCTGGTTTGACAACACACTACCAAGGGTTGGCTGAGCACCATAGCTGGTGGATGGAAAACCTCCAGTACGAGAGAGGATCATTCCTTCAGCTCCATTTATCTCTTATGAGCCACGCAAAAAGAAGTGCAAATAGCACGATTAAGTGACACTTATTTCCTCCCCATACCACAACATTTAATAAATTAAGAGCTACTTTTGTTCATTTCTTCTGTGCAGACATTCAGACAAGTTTGGGAGAAAACATCCTTCAAAATCGCATGGATCAATGCCGATATTTGGCATATATCACACCTGCAAATCAAGCTGTAACATGTGTGGCAAGCTCAGACCTTGACAGAAAAGTAAACACTTACCTTTCTTGGTTTCACTTTGTCATGGTAGTCATATTGAAAAATCCCCTTGTAGCTAAGTCCTAACCACCAAGGAATTCCCTGCTTGTCCTGGAAGAGAAAACAGAGGGAGTTATATTGAATGGGATGGGCAAATGCTGGAAATTTTCTACGTTGTTATTCAAAGTGAAGATTTGTTTCTAAGCAGTATCTTTGCATGTCATGGGTACTGTTAATTTTACCCCTGCTGAATTTCCTCAAGTCACAATGCTCCATGGTGTTTAGGAGAGATCTGTTTTACTTTTGGCCATGACCTAAAAATGATTTAAAATGCATCACCTGTGACCAAATTACTCAAAATGCTGCCAGGGGAGGTGGGGAAGTTTGACATGGGTCCCTTGTGCAGTGGTACATCCTCTTTCTCTTCCCTGAAAATTATTCAGTCTGAACAGAGACTGGAGAGGAAGCAAAGTGATTCACCCAGCTGACTTGAATTATGTGGACGGATTTTAGCATTAATCTTGAAAACGTAGCAGTAATGGGATCTGAGAGTTACCAAGTGATAAGGTCTGACAGGCTCGGACCCAACTGCTTTGTGTCTGAGTGTGCAGTAAAATGGCCTTATGGAGTAATGGCTGATATCTGATACCAGCTGCTTTGCAATTTACTGGGCTGGAGTCCTCAATGAAATTACATCTGTTCTATTAATGTGATAGAGGATGGCAGAGGAAAATGCAGCAAAACCAGAACTCCCACATGAGGCAGAAGCAAAACCTATTACGTGCAGTATTTGCTGCCTCACTGCTGTTCACTGGCACTTATTGATCATGGGGAGGGAGTTCACTGGAACAGCTCTTAAGTGTTTGAGGGCTTGAACACCCAGCCCCATCCACCACATCTTTCTTGGTCAAGAGATGTGAATGCAAAGGGTGCTGGAGGGAACATGCCCTTTGAGAAAAGATGAAGCTAATGCTCTTTGCAAAATGCAAAAGTAAGTACCCTGGAGAAACCCAGTACCCTGACAGCTACTGTCAGGTATTTGTGTTGTTATGGTACTTCGTGTGTGCAAGACATTTCAGATGTATGAAACACCATATGATCTGTGCAGAGAGATAATGACAAAACACATCAGAACTTCAGGGGTGATAAATGAGGGAATATACTCTGGGGACTGTGGATGTAGCTTTCTTTGTATGTATATTGATTTTTTTCCTTAAAAAAAAATAACAACCCTACACAGCTGGTCAGGCAGGGAAGTAAGAATAATAATAACATGAGACTGGAAGATTTGGTGATAAATCATTTGACAAAAGAAATGGGGAATTTAATGAATACTTGCATGAAATACACACAGTTAGAAGTGGAGAGCTATTTGGGGAGGGAAATGTTATGTCTAGAGTATGGGACCACGATTGGACATTAAAATGATGTACTGTATCTCTATCTGTCTACCTATATGTCAAGTGAAGGGAACTGCAGTCTGCAGGTCATGGCTGGCCCTAGTTAGTTGCTTACAGATCTGCCCGCCGGGAAAAGTCTGACCTGGAATTATAAAAACGAGTGAAGCATTGAGTCTGCCAGTGGTATGTCTGGCTTGTCCCTTTGGTGCTGGTTCACTGGCATCACCAGAGCTTGCCACTGCTTGTGGGCTGAACATCTCCAGTACAATAGGACTGCAAGAGTTTTATCTCCAATAACAGGATTTTCCTCTTTGGAGCTGTATTTACCAAACATTCACTATGCAATTGAAATAAGTTTATCCTACCACAGGAAGTGAAATGAGACTTTAGTAGCAGTGCATTGTATTCTGAAAGCAGGATGGTTATTTGTACCTTTCTCCCTCCCTCTCCAACAACAGTTTAATTCCATAAATGAGCCTTTGTTGTAGCACGTACCTTTACTGCATAATAATGCACTCCATATGTTGGGAGGGATTCTACAATGCTCATGTAACTGCAAAACAACACATAAGAGAACATGTCTGAGAAGCTGAGAGAACGATCTGGAAAAAAAGGCTTTATTAAATAAATAATTAGGTACATAAATACTTAAAAATAAAGCTTTGAGATGGGAGACATAATTACATATTGTATTCAGAGCCCAGTATAAATATTTCCTGATAAAACAAAGGTCACAAGAAGTCATTCTTATTTCACTTACTTCACAATTGCTTGACCTCTTGTCTGACCATTTAGTTTCTTGTAATGTTCAATGACTCGATCCTCACTGGAAAAGAAAAAATGAGATGTTTATTTAAAGGACGTATCATGACTAAGAATATTGCCAAAGGGGAAGAGATACTTCTGTTAACACAGCTACCAACTGAGGGAATTAGAAGACGGCCAGCAAAAGTGTTAGATGAGGTTATTTGATGCAGCCCAGGGTAAACAAGGAGGAATAAAAATAGTTCTAAGAGCTGGTTTCCTGGAAGAACCTTATTCACTCACACAGCATCTCTTTGTACAGACTCTTCCCTCTTCATTACTTGGCTATCTACAAGCAATACCCATGATATTACAGTGTGACAAACAGATGTGTGATGGAGCTTCTCAAGCTCTGCTTTGCCCTAACTGGTGCAACTTCTTTCCAAGCCCCCCACGTTCTCTGAAAACAGGGAAAACTTTCAGAAACTGGTGGCCAGTAATAGTCCTAAGCTTCACAGATTACTCCTCATTGCAACTGCACAAAAGCATTACAGGAGCACTGGTGTAAGTACCCTGGAGAAATCTCTCTCTGCAAGGAGTTAAATTCTTAGTGTACACAGAGTCAATAACAGCAGGTTAAACAGTGGCAGGGAATGTTTTCAAGGCACTCAGACTTGGGTCCCTTTACTGTTAAAATTTGATGTCCCTTTCCATACACAAACTTGCATTCTCCCAGGCAGCTCCTGGCTACTGCACTTGGAGTTGGCATGTGCCAGGGCCCATTCCCAACACTGCTATGGAGGCTAAGGCAGTTTCAAGGTATAGATGGGCTGTTCCAATCCAGTGGGCCTCTGTGTCAGAGAACAGTTCTGGAAGTGTTTGACAAATGCATGTTGAGACATTCACTTATACATGGTAGCATCTAAGAACAGATCAGCATAACCAAAATGACATACTGAGGGGCACCTGGAAGTTCACTTTTAAAGAATCTCCTTCCTTCTTCTCCAGTGAATGTGTAGCAGGAGAGCACATAATCAGAGCTATTTGATGCATGCAATCAGCTGTGCTAGCAAGGTCACACCATGGGCAAGTATAAACCAATTATCTCCTTTTTAAGGTTCACAGTAATGTCTGTTGATTTCAAGAACGTTCCTCTCAATCTACAGCCATGCAAGTCATCACAGCCTCCAAGCCTGGTACTTTCAGCCTGGTCTGACTTTGGTTCTTCTCTAACTTCCAGCAACATAATGCTCACAGGACCAGCTCTGTTACATTGGCATGACAGTCAAACCTCAAGTCCTGAGGTTTAACCTCAACAACACCAAGGATGTGGAACTGTTGAGTCCCCTCGAGATACTGTACAGGCCTTGCCAGTCCAAGAGGAAGGAAACCTAAACTACCTTTATGCCACCTTTGTGCCCTTCCCACCTGGCACTGCATAAGCTTCTACTAGTACCAAATGTCCATCTAACGCCATCATGCTGCATGTGGGTTAGGCCAGTGTGAACTGGCCTTCCCCCCTCCTGGCATTTCCTAGGCCCATCTGGGGCCCCCACGGAGGTCTTTTAAAGGCAGCCACATGGTTGTCCATCATGTGGTAATCCTTCCCCAGGCAGAACTGAAACTACTTTTATTGCAAGACAATGTGAAAGAGCACAGCAGTGTGGGATGGTCTGGTAGACAACCTCACCAGAACTACTCATAGATGCCTATGAGGACTTTGTGGAAAGCTACAGTGTTTCAGTGAGCACTAGCCCTGCTAACACAACTGCATCTTCTTGTTGTGCCCTCTCCATACGCATCCTTGTGCCAGAGAGATCTGTGTGGAGTCCAAAGCTCTGCTAGGAGATGCCCTATCCCTGCTGGGTCCAGCCTTCACAATGTCCTCAGTGATGACACAGGTAGAGGCCACAGTCTGCTGTGAAATCACACATGGGATGTTCTGTTCTGTGTCATCACAAGGAGGACACATGGTGCTGTGATGTGACAAACAAAACTTGCTGTGCACAGCTGGGGCGTGGGGCCTGGCATGGGGGGAGCATCCATGGACTGTGCATCCATCCCTGGTAGTGCAGGGAAGAAGGGAGAGGACCAGAAACACACAGTGTAGGCAGCACAGAGCAATTCAAAGTAGATGGTCTGTTGGACTGTCAGCAGGGCAGCTGTTCCCCCACAAGCCTGTTACTTGTCTAAGAGTAACTTGCCAAGTGACGTCCCCCACTCATTCTATAATATAAGGGCTTTTTTGGGGGTAAGGTGAAGAGTTGTTCCACCAGCACAACACAGTGGGTATGGGGTGCTGATTGAGAATCAGTGACAAATTACATGGGTAAAGGAATGGTCCAGCTCTCCCACCAACTCCCTCAGAATAATTTTAATGCTTAGAAAATGATCTGTAAGCTGTAAATTTAACAGCTATGAAACCCTATTCAGCCCACTGATCCAAACCAGTACCCCAGATGTTATGGGCGTGCACATGAAGGCAGAGCCTGGTTCTCCTGCCATGATTATCATAAACAGGATTACTTTTGGAGAAATAACTGAATTACATGAGTGTTCAGAACTGGAAGATCTCCAAAAAACATCATTCTTAATAAAGAGATAGACAGAGAGGGCTTACAGCCCTTTGAAATTACCTCTTAAAACCACGATTACATGTGGATGCAATTCCTCTCTGTCTCAGACAGGAACAAACCGGGAATGACTTCTCAGAAAACAATGGAGTTTTTCCAGTGCAAAATGCTCTTAACTTCGGTTTCCACTCTGTGCAGTTTATTGTACAGATCAGCTCTCATATTGATGCCATTCAAGGAAAGGATAGATGTACCTACATGCTGATTACCTAATGTGATTCTGGATGGGCTCTGCTTTCTTACAGAGGATTATTATTAAATAATAGTATGTTCCCAGACAATACCCCTTGGAGATGGAAGTCAGTCGATGGCACGGCCTGTTTCCTTCAAAGGGCACATCAGATGTCAGGGAGCATTCCTGAACAGTGGGATGAATAAAGTTAAGTTCCTAACTCATACTAAAAGATGTGGGATAATCCAGGCTCTACCCAGTTCTCCTAAACGAACACAAGCAACACTATGTCTCCATTGCTCTGTTAGGATACTGATGGGCTTCCTTTTCATTGCATAATGTTTTGAGGTCTACAGATGTAAGTGCCAGATAAGTATGATCTTATTTCTTCTTTCTTTTGAACAACAACAAAAAAACAGGCCTGAATGATCAATTGAGCCATGAATATTTAAGCATGGGATTTGCTGCCATTCACCTTTCTACAGCACTGGGGTAGTCACACTTTGGGGAAAGAAACATTTACTCCAGAGCAGATGGCTTCCTTGGAAGGAGGTTCCTGTTGCTTCTCTCTATTGACAACAAAGGGAGCTGAGGGCACCTAGCTCAGATGGAGAGGTCTGTGTTGAAGAAGTGTTCTTGGTCAGATGAATCCCACCTCAGCTGCATGACAGTCACTCCTCTAACACCTCTCTGAACTCCTTTTTCTTTCCCACTGCCCTGTGCAAAGACAATCATCCAATACAGAGATGACTTTCTGCCTCCAGCTCTGGTAAGCCCAGCATGTGCCAGGGCAAACAAGCAAAATCATTCATGGCTCAAAAGGAGCATTAGCAGAGCTTATAAACATTCTCCCCTATCATTTCAGCTGTTCATCTCCTAGTAGCTGCCATGCTGCTATTGACAGCTGGGAGGGTGCTGGGACACTGCCTGGACCACCAGCTGACATCTTCTCTGCCCCTGCTCTGGCTTGGTGCTGTGTGAGTGACACAGAAACTCATTCATAATGCAGGGCTGACAGAGGATGCCTAACTAATGTGGAGACACAGAGGCTGCTGAAGCACTTCTGTCTGCCAGCTCATAAAACATTCCTCCCAAAGTTGCAATAATTAATAAATGGATAATATCCTGCAGCAGACAACTCTGATAAAGATCTTTAGAACTACCAAGAAATCCCTTCAGTTCCAGCAGCTTACAGGATGGATGGCAGACAGCTTGCAAACAAATGCACAGCCAGAGTTTCTCATCATCAGATCCAGATTTTCAAAGGTAATTGTTTCCCCCCTCTCTTCCCAGCACATTGAGCTGTTTTACATAGCTGCCCACTCATTGGTGTTCCCTGATGTTGTGTTTCTAACCTGATTTGTCCATTTTGATTATATTCTTGAACTTAATAATGTCTTTATTTGAAGTCATACACTGTCCCACTGAAGGCAAAAGAGCATGTCTTGGGCCAGAAGGACCGAGAGCAGGATCAGAGCCTCATGTCTCTGTCCTATTAGAGGAGCGAAATAGTAATTTTCACCTGATATTTTCAGAGGTGGATTTTCTGGCAACGCTGGTGCTTAAGGTTGCTAAAAAACAAGCTTCCATTCAAAGTCTGTTGGAACCTGGGAGAAGTCTGTCTTCCCCCTAGTAAGCTGAAAATTCCACTTTAGTGCCCACTTCTGTGCTGTTGCATCTCCTCCTTGCTTTGTTACTGACAACCTAGTACTGGGCTGGCTTCTTGGGAAGGATCTGAATTGAGTTAAAATGCAATGCCAGTGGCTGGAAAGGAGGACTGTGAATTACCACATTTTCTAAAGGTTCTTTCCAGTCTCTGTGATTAGTTTTGTGTCTAACATAATGATGTTGTTTCCATGCATGGGCAAGAGAAATCAAAACTCAGGGGCCCAGCTCCTGGACTGTGTGGGAGGACCAAAAGCTCAGCTTTCATTTAAAAGAAAAAAAAAACAAACCACAGCAAAAAGCCCCTGCTTGCTTCACCAGTAATCAGTGATGCGAAGAGATACTTGAAAACAAGGTGTGCAACTGATTCTTAATCTGTAGAGAGCTGGAAACAACAACTTGATGCTATAAAAATTACAACCTTCAGTTTTGTGGTGATGTCTGCAGGCCTCCAAGATGTTACAGTGAAGGGAAAGGCCTGCAGCAAGGGTGTGCAACCAGAAGTCTCCATGAAGGTGGAGCTGGAGGCACCAAACTGTGCTGATTAAGCCCTTGCTGCACCTAAGAATCCAGGACTCATCCCACTGGTCTTACTACATTTGATAGGAGCAACAGGTGATGCTTTTTCATGGTGTGTGATAGAAATGTTGTATTTCACGCAGAGCTATCCGACTATCTTGCTGAAGATAGTTTACTTGATTATCCATTTTATCACCTATTAGTACCTTTCCGCTTATGCAAATATAGCATAGGAATCTTTTCTTTGTTTTAAACTAACTAAAGGAATAACTCATCCCACCCCTTATGTTTTAAATGTTTCTTTCCAGAGTTGGAAATTCAGTTGTTCTTTGTGCCAATGCCGAAGAGCGGAAGCATAAAAGTGATTGCACACAGAAAAGAACAGGATGGAATTTGTGTCCAGTGTGCAATTTGCAAAGCAGAAGGGTCAGAAAACACAGTTTTAAAAAGCTGCCCTCTTAGATCACTGAGGTTTGATCTGTACTTCAGAGGCTTTTTGCCCAATTCACCAGCAACCTCTTGTTGAGAGCACTCAGCATTTCTGTGGGTGTTGATGAAAATGGCACCATTAAAGAATAATGAACTACTGATGTCTAAGAGGTCTCTGAGACCTGGGTGAAGTGAAATCACAAGGGAGTCACAGGACTGTAGCCATTGGTTTTATTACCCCACTGGAAACAGCCAGCTTCCCAACCTGCAACCTGTTCTCAGTCACATGAGAACTCCCACAAAATTAAGTACAGCTGCAAGAAGTGCTGTATGTTGTGTATAACTGTAAGCACTTCCATTTTGAGCATGAGGTCTTTACATGGCTCTTCCTGCTTTAGGTGATTCAATAAAGCCCAAACCCAAGGAGAGTGTCTAATGCACAGAGACAGGCCCAGACCTCACTGAGATTTCCCAGCAGAAATCCTTAACATCATGTTAACATACTATGTTATATGTTGACAAACACTCGCTGACAGTGGGGGCAGACAGATCCTGATGGGCAGGCAGGGCCTGACAGGCCTTGTGGGTTGTCACTGCTTTCCTGTGTAAAATACCATCACAGACAACTGGCACAAAGGCTGGGTGGGCACTTCAATAAGACCTCAGTCTGTGTTGCTGATGAAGGGTCAGATTTGCCTTCCCTGTCCATGGCTACTTGTTCCCACTGCTCCTCTCATGGTGACTTTTAGCTAGAGCTACCAGTCATCAGTCAGACCAGGCCACTGTCCTGGCTGGAAATGCACTGCTTTGTCATGTGTGGATTAATTCCTGGAAGAAGGAAACAGATGCTCTGAAGAGGGAGACTATGCTTCTTCTAGTGAAACGGCAGCCTCCATTTATCACTTTTTCATAAAGATTTGGTTTGGTTTGTTTCCTAGACATAAACACCAGGAGCTTGTGATGATCCAGAGTTTTTGTGTCAGTGTTCCTAACCTCAGCTGGGGACACCTGAGTTTCTCCTGATGTGCTCAGAAAATGGTTAGGAGACCTCATAGAATAGCTTGCTTATTAGGTATAGCTAATTCTAGTATTGTAGCCATACTAGAAAAAGTGGATGGCCTTCCTGGCAGAGGGAAGAGCTGAGATCATAAGCTACAAACTTCTTTGTTTCTCCCTACGATCTTCAGATTACCAAGATGCTGAAATTAAAAGAAGTAGCAGATAAAGAAGTTCACTTCCACCCCCAGGCTTATAGGGTAATGCATTAAAGACAAACATGAAAGAGGAGCAACAGAAATTAAAATGAAAGCATCTCCCCATTAGTGAACAGTCTTTGCCCAGATTCTTTCCTATTTGCAGAGATAAAAGGGATAGGCAGGGTGGCACACAGTCTCTGTGTGTGGGGCATACAGAATTTAATTGTGACCCTGCTCCTACACTGCAATAAAAACTGAGCTCACAAGCATCCACCTCTGAACATCACCTAGGTAATATACAAGGAGGAATACATCCCTTTTACTTCAGCTATGCCATACAGAAAGGACTTGCATGAAGAAGTTCAGTCACTCAAAAATAACACAGAGCAGTTAAAAAGGTTGACATTTCAAGCTGGGAAAGCTTTTTGCACAGATGCAAATTGCTGGGAAGGGAAATGGCATATCAAGGCCTCTTGGTTTCATCAGACACTTGCACACTTACAGTGAATTTTCTGGCCAGATATTAGTGCAGCCATTTAGTGGGCAGGGAAATGGAGGCCCAGGGTGGTAGCTCTACTGGTGCAGAATCATGCAATGAGTCAGTGGTAAACCCAGGGCTAGAATGCAAGAATCCCTGCATCTCTGTTCCACTCTCAGATCACTTATTGGCAGAGCAGCAGAATTCTCAGCAGAATGATACATTACCAGTAAGCTAGGGAAGGATGCTCCTTCAGTGCTGGCGTTGGAAGGGCTGGCAGCTTCTTTAATTCATTCCTTACAACTTCATTGCTGAAAGAGAGTTCAAAAGGAGGATCAGGCTACAAGAAAACAACCACAATATTTGATATAACCTGACCTAGCTGGCAGGCGGCTACAGCTCTACATCTGTTCCTCTTTAACAAAAGGCACTTTTTCTTCTCTCTTTATTTGTTTTATGGCAGCCCAGTTAACTTTTCCCTCTATTATCAAAATTGGAGAGAAGCTCTTCCAGATGGTTACGTTGAAGTACTTCCTATCAGTGACCGGACACAAAAGCCACCATGTCACATTTCATTGAGCAAGGTACCATGGACATATTCATACAGAGAAAAAAACAAGAGAAGAAAAAGTAATGCTTTCAGGTGCAATAAAGCACCTTCCTTTAAAACCTTACAACCTGCTGCAAGAAGTAATGATTTGCTTTCTTAGTATCACAGGTTGTTCTTAGCCTCTTGCTTCAATGACCTGACATTTCCACAACATCTTCCCTGGTAAGACTCCAGCTTGAATTTATGTCCTGCTTCCCAAAACCCTCCGTGGGACCAGTCTCAACAACTTTATTAACATTCTCCTCTCTGCAACCTCTAGTGGTCACAGTAGCCACTGGAGCAGCATCACTGCACACTAGGAAGCTCATGAAACAGGAGACAGATTCTCACAGATTAAATTATACCATGGGATTTACTCCTACAAACCCAAAATGCCTCCCTTCCCATTTTTAAACACACAAGGAATTATGTGCATATGGAAAAAAAAACAACCTTCCTCAAAGACTTGGGAAGGAAGACTGTTGCTGTTACTTTTAAAATCATATAAATGCAAGCCAAGAGGGCCAGACAGGACACTGAGGAATGCCAAAGAATTAAGGTTTTCGTTTACTACTTAATAGCAGGAGGATTTTTTTGCCTTCTTGTACACTGCCCTTTATCTCGCCAAAAAGTGTGGAGCTTTCTGGAGCTGTGGAGAAAAACCCCTCTTCCAGAGCTCCAGATTTCCCAGCCCACTTTCTTCTCCTGTAGGGCAGAGGGCCATTAACCAGACAGACAGGTAGTCTTAGCATTCCCAGCTGTAGACCAGCCATCCTTAACATCTGCTAAAGGCCCAAGGAGCCCTAGGAAATGCTGGGTCATCCTGAGTTTCATTCTTGTCTCTGGGACAGTCTGTATGGATGCTTGTAGAGACATGATCTTGAGTTGTTGTAAAAATCTTCCCACATCATTTCTACATTTGCACACCCAAGCAGTGGTCTCTGCCTGAGACCTAGGCAGGTTTGTCTTAATTGGAGTTTGCAGGTTAATTGCTAGGTTGAGCCATAGGGTAAACCACTAACATAAATCCTGGTGCAGACATTTTGGGTTTTTATGATCATGGTAGTGCCCTGAAAATCAATTCAGGAGTTTCAAAACAGGACTGCAACTTCTAGTCAAGACAAATCTATGACAGACATGCCCAAATTCTAATTAGGTTCAAATTTTGCAGAGTGAAGATGTGCAGAACAGCACTTACAAGAAATGACTAAGGCAACCACTTCCATGCTAAACACATAGAAAGCCACTTCATGGCACCTCAAATCAAATCACTCTTCACAGTGTTTGAAGACCCACTGCTGCCTAAATCTCATGGTCATTTGGCCATCAGATAGATCCTCCTTTATAACTGCAAATGCTCAAAAACCATTCAGATTTTTTCTTCCATGGCAGGTAAATATCTGCACAAGTCTGAACAAGAAGCTGCTATTTTCCGTGTTATCTCCTGATCTGGACACCCTGCTCTGTGACTGGCAGCCCAAAAAACAAGCTGTTGTTGTTAACAGAGTTTGCTGGGTTTGCCCAGAGATGTCTCCTCCACAGCATGAGCATACTCAGCTCTTACGGAGTTTTTTGACATTTTGAAAGAAACTGGGGAAAAAAACCCCCAACAAACCAGAACCCAGCACGATCGGAGACCAAGCAGCAGTCACTGCTCTCAAGTGAAGAATTTCTGAGGCTGGCTGCTCATAGGAGGAAGTTGAGAAATTTCCAAAACTTTTCTGGGAAAACAGGGAGTAATTTCCAAACAGGGACTTTCTAAGCCCAGAAAATGGTTAAGTAGGGCAAGATTGGTGGTGAGTAACTATCTTTGAGAGTCTGGGAAAAAGCCTGAATCAGTAACAGCTCCCAGAAAAGAAAGGGCTAACACCACTCAGCTCCCTCTTTTCTGTCAGTAAGGAGCAAAGCTTGCTTGCAGTGGGATAAAAAAAATCTCTTAAGAATCAGAGAAAAAACATTCTTAGTGAATTTGTTGCATAGGATTAGCATTTCTGCTCAGTACCTAGAAAATACCAAAAAGGTAGTGCCTCACAACTTCAAAGCACCAAATGAATTGCAGGTAATCACTTCCAGGAACAAAAAGGTATTTCATTCCACAGTCCATGTATTCACTAAGTCTTCTGGCAAGACGTGTCTCAAGATAAATGAATTCTGACTCCCAAAAGGATGTCAAATCAAGAAAAGGGAAAAAAAAATAATTACTCAGGTTGCATTTGAACTGGTGGCCATGAGGTCACTTCCCTCTTGGCTCTTTTTAAAACACCAAACCCCTTAATTTTTAAAATGTTTCCAGCAGGGTCACAAGTGGTTTTGTACTTCCTGCTTTTCCCACTCTTTCTAGTGAAATATCTCACTGTGTTAATATTATTACTGTATTTAGAAAGTGTTTTTTTAATCTGGTCACTTGTGCTGCATTTATTTTCTAGTCAAAAGTGTCTAACCTCCAAGGTTGCTGTAGATGGAAGGGTGCTTTTGATAGAGATTTATTAACATGCAGGGAAAAGGGTCCAAATACACTTTCTTTGTGTTCTCCTGACCACTTTATTCTTGCACTGAACTTAAAATATTGAAAAGACTGAATAGCAATATGAAAACTGAACTGGAAAAGCCATTTGCATGGGTTCCTGAAAGCTGGTTTTATATCCAGAAACAAGGTCAACTGACTGGAGAGTAGACCTAGAAGACAGGAATCCCTGAGTTCTGATCTTAGTTCTAGCACTGCCTGTTTAATGACTCTTGGCCAAGTAAATGAGTCTCCACATCTGTGTACTTCTGTCTACACATGAGGGTAAGAGGTCTACCTTGCCACTTCATCAGCATTTTGTGAATAACAATTTTTGCAAATTGGTTGTAATAATTTTGAGCAACATTACAGATGCAGTTACGTTTAAGGAAATCCATGCATTTTCCAGCATGTGTAATAACAATGATTAGTAACAAAACAAGACTACAGGTTAAAGTTATTAACTCTTCTCAGTATGATAAGTAATTCTGTTGAATGAAAGAGGAAATGTAGAGTCTGAAATTCTTGGATTAAATGGTACTGTTTGAAATACAGTATTTAGGATCTTCTCCATAAGGTTGCAAGAGTGCAGCCTGGGTGTTGTAACCCATTCATAAATTCTAATTGGTTAAATATCACTTGGTTACACAGAAGGAAAAGTAATTCTGAAACTATGTTAGATCACCATCTTCCCAAACGTTGAAATGATTGTGAAATTCTGCTTATCAGGAAACTGGCTGTTTGCTTTCCTCCCTTGTTCTTTTGTATGTTGCTGGGAGATACTTGGGGTTCACTTGAAATGTCTCATGTTGCTTAACTGGAAGAAACCTAGCAATGAGAGTCTGTCTGAGGAATTAGCTACAGCAAACTTACTGCAAACACTGAGAAATATTTTTCTTAATTGATCTAAATGGATTCAGGAGCTCTGGGTTTCTGATGGGTTTGTTTCTGAAATGAAACACACATTAGAAATGGAAAAGGCCTTAGCCAAATTGCTCTCTGTGATGCCAAACTGATCTGTCAGGGCTATTGTGGCATCTTAGTTTGAGATTGATAGGGGTGACTCAAAACTAAGTGCTCTCCAGGCTTACCAAGCACTGGGTAGTCATTGCAATGCCTGAGTTAGGCAATACTACAAGGTGGCAAAAATTAGCACAGACTCATACATGATGATGCCTTTCCAAAGGATGCAGAATATATACTTGAAATGACACATAAGCCCCCTCTGGGATAAGGAAAGAGGAGTGTTGTAAGTAAGTAAGTAAGTAAGTGTAATTGTTATTCTGAGGCATGGAATGATTTCCTTCAAAGCAGCAGTGGGAGCTGCTGCCACTGGACGTGCATCAGTTCACAGAGGTAGAAAACTGACCATTGGAGTTCATAAGATCAGTTCCGATTTTGAGCTCCTGTGAGGCCCAAAAAGCAAACTTGCAACTGCATTCAGGAGCCCTGAACCAGCCCCTTGTGATTCACCACCTGGGAACAGTGGGGTTTGGAGGAAATGACGCTCAGGCCAACATGGGCAGGTGTCAACCTGCAGCTGAATTTTGACAATTTTTCATTGACTATCCCAGCACCTGAGGTGATCAGCAGCGGCCCCTAGGGAGGCTCTCACGGCGAACAGCAATTCTCCCATTGCTACCAATGAGCCAGTGCTTATGCACTTTTCTGGATCAGGGCCAAGGAGAAACTTGTAGGCTTACAGGCTATAAATCTTATGGTGGCAGTAGACAGGACAGGTGTGGGAAATCTGCAGTCTGTGTTCCAAGCCTGCAATCCTTTAGAATTAACTTATTTCTTCAAAAAGAAAGCAAGAGTTCAAGAGTTCAGCCTGCACGCAATGTATGATGCCCTGCACAACATATTATCTTTAAATCTCAGCAGCAAGACCTTTACAACTGCAGAGCTTCTCTGTTTCAAAGAGTAGCCACTTCTGTTTCAAACAGCATTTCAACTTCAACTAACTTCAAACACTGAAGGTAACTTCAGCCCTAAGAGAAGTCAGAACATTTGTTTCCATCTGCAGTTTCTCTGGCTGGCCCCAGGCTTGATTTGCCTCCCAGATTTTACACTTCTGATATGAATAACCACAAATCTCAGCAGGCAAAATCTTGACCACAATGACCTCATGTTGACTTCAGTAGCATCTGGATCTCACCCAGCATATAAACCCATGTCAGTGCATGTTAGAGGGAACCTGCTGGACAGACAGCCATGGAGATGCTAAGTCTTCTCCTAACCATAGAGGGTCAGGATAGTATTCTTCTACCTACTTCCAAGAATAGGCTTTAAACTCCACTAATAAGGCAGATTGCTTTACCATATTTTATAAATTAAGATCCCTGGCAGTGCCAGCAAGTTGTTATTAAGACACCACTTCTCTGATTGACTTGGATGTAGGGATTCCCCTGTCCACTTCAAACTGTTGTGATCCACAGGTGGAAAGCTCTAAGAGCTAACTGTTTTAACAGGGCTGATGGTGACTGGCACATTGATGTGGAGGAAGAGGTTACCACCATGTATTGAGGTATCTTCTGTGCACTCAGAGAAGATTCCTAATTTCTCTGAGGTCTAGAGAAATGCACTGTGATAAACTTAATCATCCCTTTTACAAGGACATCAAACAGCTTTTAGCAAATGGATGCTTTCCACTGGCTGGTTATGCTTCTGGTCTGGAACAGATACTTGAAGATAAAATGCTTTCAGTCCTATTAGCCTGAGCCATCAGATTCCTTTCTATTCTGTGTTTCATGGTCTAAAAGTACACTTTTTGGGTGTGTTTTTGTCATGTCAAAGACATTCTGAGAAACATTAAATATTGTTCTTCATAGCAAAACCAGTGGAAGATGTGGTTCATCACAGATTTGAGAGGTAAAACTCTGCTTGGCTCAGCTCCACTGGGCTGAGCACTTGGCAGTGCATGGAAAACCAAGACTGAAGAGGAAAAGAACTGCATGTGCTCCAGTGCCCCCTAAATAAACACTGCTGGTAGCTCAGTTATTCCAAATTTGGTGGAACTGAAAAATGAAACAAAACTAGGTTTGTGTTTCTGTGGTCAGATGCATGTCAGGATTTTGCAAGTTGATGAAGGTTTTGAGAAATGATAAGGCTGAATTTGAACTTCCTTTTACTAAGGGTTACCTTATGTCATCTCAGATTTCATGATACATAAGCAATATTTTCAACTCATTGTTCCTTCTCAGTGATTTGTCTCAATTTTAGCTGGCTAGAAATCCCAGACCACCAAATGGTGGAAGCTGTTCATCTGCTCTGCCTGTTACTCACAATCTCCAATGGGTGCATACAGTCTTCTCAGTGTAAATCAATCCTGACAAAAAAGGTACTTTCAGCTTATCTGGCAGTTCAACCTCACTGCCCATTCCTACCTTGTTTTCTCCTCTGAAACGAACTTGAATGGATATTGTGGTCCTCCAGCTGAACTTACATTCAGGTCAACAAAAGCAATACATGGAGTTTGTGGATTTTTTAGCATAGATAGTTTGCCTGGGCTTCAGGTGAAGAACTTCCATGTTTCTCTCATGAGGCATGAAACAGCTATCTGACCTTTGGTCACTGCTAATACAGAACTGACAGATACTGTCAGCTTAAATGAAAATTCTTGGGCATTTCACTAACAGCCTCCTGAAACACCAAACACAGTTCATCTCTTTGAATTTCCTCCAGCAAGTCTGAATATTTGGCTCAAGGGATAGCGGAAGTTCAACAAAACCAATCATCTAAGTTGTGATTTTGAGAACTCTGTCCAAATTCAAGCTGAAATATCAATTAGTGATGGAACTTCAATGTTGCCTCTGGCCGGGTCTTTGATATAACAGTGATTGTAGAGTCATTTCCTTAGCAATTTCCTTCCGAAGACTAGTCTATTTCCTGAACTTCATGGACATATAAAGAGATTTGCAATAACAAAGTCACAAACAATGCTGTTTGCAAGGCCTTCTCTAGTCAAAGGCTGTGTTTTGTGAAGAACTGTTTTCAGGAAACACAATGTCTATATTACCAATGTGTATATTCCTGTTGCTACACAGTTATAACCCAGTTGCATCCCTCACACAGTGATTTCTCCAGATTCATTCTCACAGCACATAATGGCAAAAGCTTTTAAGATCACCTACCTTGAAAAATCTCCCTTTGCCTCCTGTAAAATGAGAAAGAAAAATTAAAAATGTACCATTAAAAATTGAAAAAAAAAAAAGGTAAACAACTGTTCAAGATTTTCCATTTGCAAAACTCATTTAGCAGCAATTTCCTGTCGTAATTGATTCCTCATGTATTTTTTGGAACCAGTATCTAATGTCAAGTGCCATGATACATGCAGTGAACCGGGCAGATTAACAAACAAAAGGTTTGCTTAATGCAGAGCCAGATAATTCCTCATTCTGCTAGTAAATACCCAAGAAGCTGCAGGAAATAATGCTAGTAAATAAGTAATTTTTTTGGTCAGTGTGGATACCACATTACTAGAAGACCTCTGAAGTCTCAGTGGCTTTGCAGCCTCTGGGACTGCAATTCCCTTGACTCTTTTTACAAATATTCTGATTATTTTCTAGAAATTAAGACTTTCAAAAAGTAAGCTCATTATCAGCTTTCAAGGGGACGCAAGACACAGGTTTCTCTAACTCCTTGCTGGGTGTTTGGAGGAGTATTTAGCTCCCTTACTTATATATCTAGTTATTTCTATTTACTACCAACACAGCCTGATGTTAAAGGGCTGGATAAGGTTTCTCTCCAGTGAATAGAGGAGTACCTGAGTCTTACTGGGTATCTGGTGAATCCTCAAAATTTGGTGAGTCCCCTCCTCAATAGATGCAACACACATTTTGAGGGGCTGGAGTGTGTCCAGAGAAGGGCAATGAAACTGGGGTAAAGTTCAGAGCTTTGGTAGTACTTTAATTTGTTCTGTTAACATAGCAATTTGAAATAAGGCTGCAGACTAAAGCAGTCCTTTACTATCTTCCTGTTTCCTGAACTGAACAGCAGACAAGCTTACCCCTGGTTCATAGGAAGGAGTCCTTAAACACTGGAACAGGTGGCTCAGGGAAGCTGTGGATGCCCCCTCCCTGGAAGTGCTCAAGACCAGGTTGGGTGGGACTTTGAGCAACCTGGTCTACTGAGGGGGTGTCCCTGTCCATGCAGGGGGGATGGAACTAGATTATATTTAAGGTCCCTTTCAACCCAAACCATTCTGTGATTCTATGATATAATGACTATAGTCCAACATAGAGCAACGCCCAAAGGATATGCCCTGGCCTGAAAAGGGATGAGCATCCTGAATTTAAAAACCAATTTTGTAGGGTAGATTGTCTATACTTCAGTTCTTTGACCTCAATGCTGAAGTGAGAAGTAGGACAAAATGCAGTATGATTCCTCTTGTTTTGCTTAGATACTGTCACAAACATGGGTTGTAGTAATTTCTGGCTACAGACAACAGAGGTGTGGCTTGTTTTGACTGTTTTCATTAAATTACACATCAAACTACTACAGGAATACACGTAACATCCTGTGTTTGTCATGAGAAACAATCACAGCAAGGAGGGTTACAGGGGCAGATCTGGATCTGGCTGTACAGTTACTAAGAGCTCAAGTTATTCATTAGGATGAGCAGACAATAGATTCATAACCCTATTGCTTCTTCTCACAATGAGCCTGTTGTTTGATGCGTATTCCCCCAACAGCCAACATGCAATTTCTATAATGTGCTTTTAATTGAGTCCCCCATCCTCACTGTCTCACTCCATTTTTGTTACATAGAACGATTTTAATGAAGATTCAAATCCCTACACATTAATTGCTTCTTTAACATGGAAAGTGCTGTAGAAGGGCAATGCACTTTAGTTACTGGTGCAGGCTGAGGGGATAGCTTCTCTGCTCACATGGCTCCTCACAGCTTCCTGGCTGATGGGAAAAATAATGAAAACTACACTGTACAAAAGGGGAACAGGAATCATCTGACAATTATCTCTGATCTGTTCCCACAGTCATACTCCTGAATTAACTTTCACAAAAACACCTCCACTACCCTGAAAAGATCCCTCTTTGGGAACTAGAGATTTACCAACTGCTGCTGGTAATTTGCTCTGTGACCCTTTCCCTCTTCCTGAAGAGCAGGACGAAAAAACAACTTTTATTTTTTTTTCTGGTCAATTCTTTTGGAACACCTTTAAGCCCTTCTGCCCACCTTGGAGAATACAGGCAGTTGCATTTATAGAAGCGTATGGAGCTCATCAGAGGGGCAAGCTCCATCAGGGAAACATTTGCAAATAAAGGCATTGGAGAAGAACCCACTGTAAATGGATTTCATAGAATCATAGAATGTCAGGTTGGAAGGGACTTGAAGGATCATTTGGTCCAATCTTCCTAGGTAATAATACAGTTTAAATGAGGTGGCCCATGTCAAGCTAAGTCTTAAAACTGTGTACTAAGTCTTAAAACTGTGTAGGAAAATCTACCACTTCCCTTGGGAGATTGTCTAACTGTTCTCATGGTGAAATTTTTTCACCTAGGAAATTGCATTAATCACTCAGATGTTCTCTGGCTATACATCATACCCCATGATACTGGATACCTGTGGCAGTACAAGCATAATATGCAGTTATATATGCAAAATGTTGGGCAGTAGAATCTGCTCCATGCTTGGAGAGGTCTGGCTTGAGGTCTGCTTGGTCTTGCATTGGTATAAATGATGCAAATGGTGCAAAGGCATCTTGCCCTTGCACTTCTGGGCAGCTGTTTTGGATTTGGCCGGTCAGGAAATTTAATGCAACACAAGGAAGCACGAAGGGAAAGAAGGTGGGTGCTTACCTGCAAGATGTAGGCAGCCAGTTCAAACACCACTTCACTGTCAACCTCAATGAGTTCCTTGAAAGGTAAAGGAAACAAGAAATTAAAAGAGAGTGGAGTCAGTTTGAGCCCCTGCAAGAAGGACATGCATCTCCTCCTGGCTACTGCATGGTGAAGCGTGTGGTACCAGTTTTCTTCCCCAGCTGTGCTTCAAAGCATTGCCTGTGCTCCTGGAGACCAACATGAGGGAGAACCTGCACACTCAGATGTGGAGAAAGCCAAATATTTGGCTTGGTAAATGAAGCATAACTGGATGTGGCATGAAGGGATTCCTGGGGAGGAACAGGGAGAAGACAGGTGGAAGGGGGAGGATCAGGGTAATTTTTATTTTCTTGTGTGATTTAGTGAAAGGTAATCTGGGAAATGTATTTTTTTATCCCCCAAACATCACTTATGCTTCAGGGGAACACAGCCTTGTCTTTGGCTCATAGTAGTAATTAAAGAAATGAGAAAATCTGTCTTCACTGAGGTTGTGTCAAAGCACCCATAGATCTTCTCTGGCTATTGCCAGGGTAAAATCACAGGAGAAAGAGCCATATTCCCTCTTGCAGGGTGGCAGCTCAGTCCCTTCTTCCCCATGAGCACTGGAGCTGGGGTTGCTTTGAGAATGAGCTGTGAAAACTAATCTTTTGGTAGATCTTCACTGCTCCATTCTACAGGATCCAGTCGGTGGTGAAAGCAAAGTTGGAGGGTCAGGTGAAATTATGAGTATTTTGCTTTGACACTGTTGTCACATGAAGGACACTGATGGTTCCATGAGATCCTCTCAGAGTCCTTTTGTGGTTCAGATAGTAGTCACAGATCCAAGGGGTCCAGGCATTGCTCTATCTGAATGTGTGGGATGCAGACCTGGCATCAAAGATGCTTGGGATGGGAGGCTTGAACATTAATCTTGTGGCCAGGTGTGCTCTCCTGCATTCCTGGTACCTGCTTGTGGCAAGATAGGGGGTTTTTACTGCAATGCTGTTTAGGCCTGTCTTCTACAACTAGATCTCCTATGTTGTCTCCTACGTACGTAGCCATGCAAACTGGGTCACTGTTCAGCTCACTCCTGTGGTGGTTTTTCTGTTTTATTTATTTAAGCTGCTGTTTTTAATATTTTATTTCATCTGGCAAGAAATGAGTGATCCAAATATAGATCAGTGCTGTGATCCGTGCTCCAGCCAAGTCACGGCCACACCTCATTTACAAGCCACAATCGCTGCGTTGGCTTGTCTCTGGCAAAATAAAAAACAAAGGGAACAAAACAGAGGATAAGATCCAGGTGTCCTTGGCTTTCACCAGTGCCAGCTTTTTAAAATAAGCACTTCCTTCACCTTCATAACAACTCCTTGGGGAGTGAAGACCAGCTCTGCTACGGGCAATAAACACACCTTTCCCCACTGAGCTGAACGGCCTGGTTCAGGCAGACACCTGCACTAACGACGTGCGTGTGCCAAGGGAAGCGGCTGGTGCGAGATGTTGATTCAGCTGCAGGCTGGGCCGGGGCCGACAGGCAAACCCCATAGCAAGGGGTGATACAGAGCAGAACCAGAATGCATGGTCTTCCTCTCTCCTTGTAGCACCAGGCAGTGCATGGACAAACCAGCCCCTGCAACCACATGTTGCTGTGGCAAGTCTATACTAGTGGGTGAAGTGGGCCAGAGCCCATTCCCTGGCCCTAAGGGTACGTGGTACAGGACAGATAGTGCATGACTGAATGCTCTTCCTTCCTCTCCCAGTCCCAGACAGGGTTACCTCAACTGTCTTCCCTCTTGGAACAGGTGCTCAGCCCTGGACACTGCCCAAGTAAAGCCTGGGACAGGGCTAGTCCGCACATGCCAAAACCTGTGTCAGACCATGCTAGTAATTAAACACCCTGACTGATTGAGGGACAGTGCCTGATGCCAAGTCCTGTCTTGTTCAGTGGCTTGGCCTTTCTGGGCAGCACTGGCTTGCTAGTCCTGTGCAATGATTTGGGTGTGTGGGTCCTTGAATGTCTCATTGTACAACAGGGTGGGCAACGAGGAATGGTGGGAACAGCCAAAGCAGTGCAGCACCCAATGCAGAGCCAGCACCCAACAACCCAGGGAACCAGCAGCCCCAGACTAAACTGTCATAAGTTTTCTCCTTTCCCAACTTCAGTAGCCCTGTGCACGGGGAGATTTGAGGGTGTGTGTCTGAAGAATCAACAGGGAAATGTCTAAAGTGCTAGCATAGCATTATGAACTACACTTGTATCATACACAGTACAGTCTTTCTGGGGAGCAGGGGAGCTTGGGGTGAAGCCATCCGTGGGAAGTCCCAACAAGGAAACTTTTTGTGCAGCAAGGAAGCTTTCAAGATTTGGGAGCCTGCAACACCCCGCTAGCTGCAGGGACCACAAGCACTGGCTGTGTGCAGACACCTCTCTACACGGAGAGGAATCACCAGGCGTGCTGGCTGGGTGCTCGCCCTGTGAGCACAGACTTTGCCCTCACCTTTCAAATTCAGCGCCTTTTTAAATAGCACAGCAGGGCTTATTGTGGCTGGAAGTCAAGTGGGAAAGGACCCGCATGGGAGACTGGGAATCCAGCAGGGCTATTTTTGGATGGAGATGACAGTCAGCTTGAATGTGCAAAGTAATGGTTTCAGGAGAGGTCAGACTAAAATAAATCAACCTAGATCCGTAGGCACTTTTCTCTTTGCCCCCTCCCTCTCTTTTTTTTTTTCTCGTTACGCTTTCTCCAAAAAAACCCCCAAAAACCAACAGTGTAAGCTTTTCCTGGCAATACTCCAAAAAGGAGCTTTTCCCCAGGAAACAAAATGTGACGCTCACTGCGCTTGTTGCTGGAGAGGGCTGACTAAGCACATCTAATTACAGCCTTGCCGGGAGAGCAAAGCTCTGCACAGCTCAGCTCAGCAGCCCTGCCTTTTTCCTTGGCACTGGAAAAAAAAAAAAAAAAAAAAAAAAAAAGGCGTTTTCTGGCTTCTACCCTGCATTTTGGGAGATGCAAAGTTAGTCCCTGCATTTCAGGACATGTTGACGTGAGGGTCCAAACTCAGTGTAAGCTTGTGGTTTTAGCAGATCACAAATCTGCTGAGAGTTGTGGGCTGGCAGTACAATCACTCTTGACTACAGTTTTCTTTTCCTGCCTCTTCCTCCCTGGCAGATGGAGGTGAGTCACCAGGAATAGCCTCTGCCAGCACAGAGGGAGGCAGGAGGGATCCTCCCAGGGAATCCCAGCTGTTGAAAAACCTCACCCAGTCCCACACATCGAGCTGCCCATCCATCCCACCCGGCCAGCCAGCCAGCCTCCACCTCTGCCGTTTCTGGGCCAGCTTCATTTTCTGCACCCTGCCCTTTCACTTGTAGGGTTTGGCTGGCGGCACTGAA